CAGCAGGAGGGAGAAGAAAGAGGACGGAATTTTCGCGGGACGGAAGAAATCAGGACAACAAAGAAAAAGAAAGAGTAAAGGTGTGTGACGAAGACACTGAGGACAGAAGAAGAACTGAAGGAAGTGACCACAGGAAGTGATGACCACAGGTCACCGAGGTCAACGGCGGCAAGACACCAGACGGAAACGTCAACAACAGAGTGTCAACAGGCTGCTGCTTGAATCACACACACACACACACACACCTGCCTGTGTGTGTGTGTGTGTCTCAGCATCACTCCTCACTGATGAACACATTTACCTTCTACTCCAGCAGAGACCAGCAGCTGGCGCTGCTGCGTTCTTCTTTGTGTGTATTTTTCCCACAGAAACGTTCAAAAAGACAAATGCAGGCAGGATGAATCTGCTCTCCCTCTCTCACCCCAACCGTCCGTGGATTATCCATGTGTCCGTGAGTGCTGTCCCCCAGACGGGGAGCTCACTCAGGCAGGAGATTTCAACCGGCAGCTGCTGGGAGTTTTTTTCTCTGTAAAGCTCCACAGCCTCAGCAAATGAAAGGTCCAGCCCAGCTTAGATGCTAAGCTAATGTGAGCTATTCACAGTGGCTGCAGCCCCACCACCCCGGCTTGTTCCCGCCCACTGACCCCCTCCCACCCTGAGCCCTCTCTCTCTCTCTCTCTCTCCCTCTCTCTACCTCCCTCTTCCTTCCCCTCCTATCAAAGCCATAAATATAGACTATTGTCACTACTACACATAGTGTTTCCTGATAAACACTTCATGCAGGTCACATGACTGCTGAATGATGTGTTAATGCTGCAGAGGGCAGCAGACCAGGGGTGGGGGGGCAAGAGTTTGTTTAAAAAAAAACTGCTACACATGACTGCTGAATGATGTGTTAATGGTGCAAATGGGGTGGGGGGGCAAGAGTTTGTTTTAAAAGAAACTGCTGGTGCCAAGTGTTGTGTTCAGGGACCAGTGTTGTGTTCAGGGACCAGTGTTGTGCTGCTGTGTTTGATCATTTGGACATCATGGCAGTCAGTGTGTGTGCGTGCTCGTGCTTAGTATGAAAAACATTTTTTTTTAAATGTCAAAAGTCTCCGGTTTGTTGACAGTTGACAGTAAATGTCCGTTAACTAGTAACACGTAGTATTTCTGATGAAGTATTTGGTCGTTTTTCAAATGGCTGCAGGTTTTAGGACCGGAATAATGAAACTAAACGCCAAACATCTGTTAGCATTTGGTTGAGCCACTTTGACTCATCACAGTCAGGGTTGGACAGTAAACCCAGACCTGAATAACGACCTGTTCATTCTTATCAACTTAGTTAACGCCCGAGAACAAAAGCAGCGAAGTTTCTGTACTGACGTGTTCAGACGTTCATGTCAAACTCCTGCACCTCAGCTGAGCCGTTAGCGCACGAGCTACAGACACACACATCATGTTATCAACAGTCTGGCCACAGTCTGTCATGTGCGCTGAGCTGAGGTTTATCTTCAATTATTTTCAACAATTATTTTTTAGTCATTCAAAAGTTTACAGTTGACAAGAAGCGGAGAACGAGTGAGCTGTAGCAGCGACAGCAGCAGTTAGCATGGAGGCTAAAAACAAGAAGTGTAGCGCAGGTGTTCTCTACTTCAACATGTGTTTGATAATGAAATATGATAAAAAAAAATCTGATGAAACATTTGGTCTTAAACATGTCACAGTTCAGACAAACTTTAGGTTGGATTTACAGAGAACTGAATGGTGATGATGAATTCACGGCGAAGAGAGAATCCTCCGTGTCACCATAGTGAACCATGAAGGTCCAGAGCCCTGGACCATGTGTCTGTGTCCAGGCAGCGACCTCTACCTCCTGGCCTCAACACAGTGAGTTTTTTTCTGACTGTTATTTTAATTCTTCTTATTAGACTAGTGTTCTATAAAATTCTCCAGAGAAGGATGTGCTGTTAGGTCTGTTGGTTTCTGTTTGCTGCTGTCTCTGCTGGGTGGAGTTAATCAGTGGGATCACTCGTGTCACCTGGTGCCCTGTGTATCTACACCTCTGTCTTCTTGGATCGTTGTTCTGTCGGTTCTGTTCCAGCTTCTAGTCCGGACCGGTCCATGTCTAGTTGATGTTCCTGTGACCCGGTGAGTTTTTGTTACTTTGTACTTTAAAGCCAACTGTCTGAACAGAGTCTCCGTGTGCTGCGTTCAGGTCCTGCCTTAGCGTCACACAACATCTTCATTTCTACTATCACTTGTAACTTTTTCAGTGGAATTTTTTCAAGTTTAAGGAAATCCTCGTTCCAAAAGCTCAGCCGTGGCTGTTGAGTTCCCAGGCAGTGGACCAACATTTGTGGGACTGGAGAGTACACCATAGATCAGTGTCAGTTATTTGAACACAAAGACTGAGCTGCAAACAAATCATCACAAGACTCTCACACACAGATCAGTCTTTCAAAGCCTCACTGACGCTAAAAGACAATCTTTGTTCAGCCAGTGAATTGGAACAGTTCATTTCCATGACCACAGAACCAGAGTCACCAGAGTCGCTAATCACCACCACATCATTTCCATGACCACAGAACCAGAGTCGCTAATCACCACCACGCTTCCCCGACCACAGCCGGAGTAGACACAGGCAGAACGGCTGTAAGATGACTGCAAGACATGGAGGAAAAATACACACCAAAAGTATGTATTTCATTCAACAGGTATACCTGAAAAAACATAACATTTCTCCAGCCAGTAGGAGGTGGTAAAACACTTAATGTTTCTTTGCTAGCTCCAAATAAAAGGCCTAGAGCTAACGTTAGCTACAACAGTCCTGGTACAGACACCAGAGCTAACGTTAGCTACGACAGTCCTGGTACAGACCATCAGTGGACACCAGACCTGTATGGACAGAGAACTAGAGATGAAAAGAACATTTTTGTTTCTGTAACTTCACCTGGTATGTCATGTCACTGGTTTAGTCCTGGACCAGAATAGATTTGAACTGGAAAGTGTTGTTTATTGTGTCAAATATTGACCACAATACAAATGTAGTAACCATGACTACTATAAGAAAAACCCTCCACTAGTACTGAGTATCTGTCGGAGGTTGTAATCTGGTGTCAGTTCATCAGAGCAGATTAGATTAAGGACAGAGTCCAGGTCCAGTCTGCTCAGACCACACAGTGGAGGAGGGAGAGGGGGGGGTCTGAGGGGGATTGTTTCATCTGGATGAATTACTGTAAGGTGCCTTTGTAATGTTTCAGGCTGTCGGTACGAAAACAACAGCAGAAACAACAGCCTCCAGTACCAGAGTCCACCCACCGGGGGGAGTCTGCCTGGGTCCTGGTTCTACCTGCGTGACGGAGGTTCACAGGTATTTTGACAGTATATTAAACACATGTAGTAATGATGTCACACACACACACACACACACGCCAGTGTTGACATGTCGTCATGACTCCGTCGTAGCCTGTGTGTGAGCAGCTTCCTGTCAGTTAGCTTCACGTCTTCTCAGCGCTGCGTCCTTCCCCGGGTGAACGCCGTGTTGATGCGGTGTGTATTTGGCCACGTTAACTAAATATTAACCACACACACACACACACAGGAGCTGGGGGACGGGGGGGGCAGTCGTCTGTTACAGAAATGAATGGCGGTGGACGTTAGCATGAGGCTCCCCGGCTGCACCCCGCAATGCAGCGACACACACACAATGGCGAGTGCCACACTTCCCCCTGTCGTCCCCCCCGTGGAGCCCTTTTGTTTGAGCAGCATCTGGACCTGACCTCCATTGCATTC